GTCTGCTCTCCTTGGGCCGGGGCGGCGGGGAGGGGTCGGGTTCCCGCCGGCCTCGGCCACGTGGGCGACGCACTCCCGGCCCTGGATCCGGGATGCGGCCGAGGGCCAGGCGCGAGCTGCGGCGTGACCTTGGGCGGCCCCCAGCCTCTCTGGTCTGGCCCTGGGAGGGAGCAGAGGCGGGGGCAGGAGCTGGCACCAACCCTTTTAGAAAGGAGGCGCCTTGAGAGCAGGAGCTGGTGCCGGTGCCCAGGCTGGCTTCGTGTACAAGTGCGCATCCAGGCCGAGGCTGGCACGGGAGGAGCAGGCGCGGGTGGATGCCAAGGTTCATCATGAGGCCCCCTGGGCAAGGCAGGTGTCTCAGGTGTAGGAAGTTCCCGCCTTCGCAGGTGCCAGCCCGACTTGGCCAGAGGGTTTGATGGCCAGAGGGCTTGATAGGAGTGCCAGCCCAGCTCCCCACGCTGCATCTTAGCCAGGCGGGGGGCCGGGCCTGGGATGGGTGTGTGGCTGCAGCTGGCATGGCCGCACGGGGAGGGGCATCCCCAGCGTCAGGCAGGGACACATCTGGCTGGGGCAGCCAGCGCAGCTGGTGGCACTGCGGAGGAGGGGCCACTGTGCCCGGCAAAGGGTCTGCCACCTGGGGCCTGGGCAGCATCTCTGCTCCAGGATGGTGCTGGTGTGGCCAGGCATCTGACCCCAACAGGCCTGCGCTTGGAAGCCCTCATCCAGGCCACGCCTCCCCCGCCCCCTGCTCTGGCCTTGAGACCTGCCAGAGCCATGATGAGAACCTGGGGTGGTCAGAGGGGGTGGTGGGGATCCGGGACACCCCAGCTGCCCCCGCCCAGCAGGCCTCCCAGGAGCTGCTTCCTGCTTTGCAAGTCATCCCAAGCTCAGAAGTCCAACAGTGTGGAGCTTTGTCCAGCCCAGCAGGAAAGGGCAGCCCTAGCAGAGCTAGGAGCCAGCACTCTAGACAGGGGGAACCCTCATTCTGAACCTTGATTTCCCCATCTTGCAGTGGAGGTTGGGCCCAGTGGATAAAGCAGAGTGAGTCAGAAGGGGGGGTGGGAGGGGCTTGGTGCCACGTCCCAGTTAGACTGGCCAGGCCTGGGTGGCCAGCAGCTCCGGGACGCGGCAGATGGCGGCTTCGGGTTTGGAGGACGGACGTGGAAGGTCCCCAGGAAGAGGGCACCCACGGCCAGGGCCTGGCCATCTTGGAGATTTGAGAGCACACAAGACAGGGTGGCCTCGCTGCTGGCTGTGGAGGGCAGGTGGCTGCTGGTGGCGCTCTGAGTTTCTTCCTGAGGTGGGTTCTCATGCAGGGACCTAAGACTTTAGCTCAGACACTCATTGCCTGCTTCTGTCCATGCCAAGGAAGGACTGGCATGGGAAGGCAAGTGTAGGGGTGGGCTGGGTTTATCCCGGGGCCTCGAGGTCTCACTGGGCTTGTGGCTGTGGTGCAGACCTGAGGGGTCCATCCACCAGGCGAGGGGTCAGGAGGGCGTGCAGGATATGTCCCCAGCCTGGGCAGGCTGTCTGTCCGCTGCCCACCTGGGGAGCCCGCTGTGTGGAGCTAGGGCTGCGTGTGGCCCTCCTTCTATAAATTTGCAGGGGCCAAAAGTTGGGGCTCTTCAGGTGGAGGCCCCCAAGATAGGGCCATGCTGGGTCCACTGGACACGGACCATGCCTGACCAGGGCCTCTGCCTGCAGGCAAGCGACTCAGCCTTACCCCACCCTACCCCTTGTGCAGAGATCTGCTGGGGCCAGGCCTGGGGCCACAGGCGGCCAGAGGCCCTGGCCAGGATCTGGCCGAGTGGTAAGGCCTGTGAGGCTGCAGGACCAGCGTGGGGAACTTGGGCCTAGGCCTGGCCTCCGCACACAGGCCTCCCCTTCTGCAGCCCTGGCTGCTGGGAGGTGAGGGGTCCTTTTGCTGCTGCCTGGCAGGTGGGGAGCGAGGTAGGGAGCCAGACCTGTGTCCTGTAGGGGAGGATTTGTGGGGCCCAGACTTAACTGGGGAATCGGGTGGAGGAGGAAGGGAGGGGTGTGTTAGGATCCTCCTGGTGCCCCCTGTCCTTGCTCCCCCAGGACCACCCTGGTGCTCCCTGCATGAGGGGCCACGGCCCTAGCCCCTCCCCTGGCCCTCCTGTCCACTTACCCTCGAGGGTGACCTTGCGATGCAGAGGGAGAGCTGAGGCCCAGGAGCGTGGACTGCCTGAGGCTCCCAAGGGGCAGCCTTCTGGGGTGGAACCCCGCCCACCTTCTTGACTGCCAGGAGGGACTGGGAGAAGAGACCACTGTGGGAGGGGTGGGAGGCGTCCACAGGGCCCCTGAGACCCTGAGCCCTCCTGTGCCCCCCAACAGTTGCTGGTTGAGAAGACAACCGACTCCCCGGCGGCCGAGTTCTCGCTGGTGGAGGACGTGGCGCTGCACTTTGCCTGCTTGATGGGCCGCCTGAACGAGCAGCGCCTCTTTCAGCCTGACCTGTGCGACGTGGACCTGGTGCTGGTGCCGCAGCGCAGTGTCTTCCCGGCCCACAAGGGCGTGCTGGCCGCCTACAGCCAGTTCTTCCACTCGCTCTTCACACAGAACAAGCAACTGCAGCGCGTCGAGCTGTCCCTGGAGGCTCTGGCACCTGGCGGCCTGCAGCAGATCCTCAACTTCATCTACACGTCCAAGCTGCTGGTCAACGCCGCCAACGTGCACGAGGTGCTCAGCGCTGCCTCGCTGCTGCAGATGGCCGACATTGCCGCGTCCTGCCAGGAGCTGCTGGACGCCCGCTCCCTGGGCCCGCCAGGTCCCAGCACCGCAGTGGCGCTGGCCCCCCCAGCTGCCAGCTGCACCCCGGCCACGCCACCCTACTACTGTGACATCAAGCAGGAGGCCGACGCCCCCGGCCTGCCTAAGATCTATGCCCGTGAGGGCCCTGACCCCTACTCGGTGCGTGTGGAGGACGGGGCAGGCGCTGCTGGGGACACGGTGCCAGCCACCATGGGGCCTGCCCAGCCCTTCTTCAAGGAGGAGAAGGAAGCAGGCGTGGAGGAGGCTGGCGGGGTGTGCAAGCTGGAGGGGGGTGAGGAGATGGAGGATGAGCTGGGGGCCCCGGGCACCTATGGCCACCAGGAACAGTCCCAGATCATCGTGGAGGTCAACCTCAACAACCAGACGCTGCACGTGTCCACAGGGCCAGAGGGCAAGCCGGGTGCAGGGGCCAGCGCAGCCACCATGGTGCTGGGCAGGGAGGATGGGCTGCAGCGACGCTTGGAGGACGAAGAGGACGAGGAAGAGGAGGCGGAGGAGGAAGGAGAGGAAGGGGGGAGGAGTGGAGGTCAGGAGGAGGAGGGGGGCGGCAGTCAGGGAGAGGAAGAAGAGGAGGAGGAGGAAGGGCACAGTGAGGGGCAGGAGGAGGAGGAGGAGGAGGAAGGGCACAGCGAGCAGGACCCTGAGAGCTCTGAGGAGGAAGAGGAGGAGGAGGAAGGGGAGGAGGAGGAGGAGACCACAAGCGGGCAGGGCTCGGCAGGGCCTGGGAGGTGCCAGGCCGGCCAGGCGGACCCCACTCCCCAAGGTCGCATGGCCACGAGGTCCCGGGAGAACACACGGCGCCAGGCCGTGTCTGAGCCCGAGGAGGCCGGACAGCGTGGGAAGCGGCCCAAGCCCCCTGGGGTGGCCGGCACCCCAGCCCACGCACCGTCAGCTGCAGACGGGCTAGGTGCCAAGGTGAAGCTAGAGGAGAAGCAGCACCACCCGTGCCAGAAGTGTCCCCGGGTCTTCAATAACCGCTGGTACCTGGAGAAGCACATGAACGTCACGCACAGCCGCATGCAGATCTGCGACCAGTGTGGCAAGCGCTTCCTGCTGGAGAGCGAGCTGGTGCTGCACCGGCAGACAGACTGCGAGCGCAACATCCAGGTGGGCGTGGCCCTCGGGCGGGCAGCGTCTGGGAGGGCTGTGGGCTGACCTCGGACAGCTTCCTGGGGAGGCAATGGGTGCAGAGAGGTCTGGGACGGTTGCACCCTTGGCCAGACGCTTCCCAGGTTGTGGACTGCGCCAGAGCACAGGAGGGAAGAGGGCTGTGCCGGGATGCAGGGGGCCGCTTTTCATCCCCCACAAAGGTGTCTTCCAGGCAGGCATGGCGCTGCAGGAGGAAGCTCCTGTGTGCAGCCTGTTGGAGAGGCTTGGAAGCCTGGCCCAGGCGAGGGGACAGAAGGCGTCAGGGAAGAGCCGGGCCGGGTTGGCTCCCCACTGTGGGCCAAGGGTGAATGTGTGCCAGCCTTCTTCCTGGGTGCGGGTGGCACAGGGCCAGCTGGGCCCTCGGGGCCTTCGCCCTTCTCTGGCCCAGGAGCAGAGGGAAAGGTATGGGCGGGTGGGTGCTAATTACCTGAGCTAATTGCTCACCAGGGCACCCCGTGTTCCCTGGGGCGTCCCAGTCAGAGAGCCCGTCCTGCTCCTGTTCCTCCTGTCCGCCTCCACCTGACTCACACCCGCAGCGGGAGAACCTACACTTCCCACCTGGGTGTCCTGGCCCAGTCTCTGCAAGCCAGGCCTGGCTCTGGCCCCCTGCGGTGTCCTGCAGGGCCTGGCAGAACAGGGGCACAGGGAGGGGCAGGTCCTCCACCCGCCCCACTGTCGCCCCAGACAGCGCTCCCGGAGCCATTCCTTGGGGCTGTGCACACTGTCAGGCTCAGGTTCTAGTGTCCCATGACCGCGCATGTGGAGGGCGGCCTGCGTACGCTCTGCAGAGGAGCAGGAAGGAGGGGCTGGGCCACTGAATGTCCCGGTGTGCAGCGAGTCACCGTCCCTCGCTCCGCGGACGTCAGGGGCCTCTCCGCGGCACACTTGAAGTGGGGAAACAGCGTGGCAGCAGCTCGTTTGAGGTCACACAGCCATCTTGCCCTGCAGTGTGTGACATGCGGGAAAGCCTTCAAGAAACTGTGGTCCCTTCATGAGCACAACAAGATTGTGCATGGCTATGCGGAGAAGAAATTCTCCTGTGAGATCTGTGAGAAGAAGTTCTACACCATGGCCCACGTGCGCAAGCACATGGTGGGTGAGTCGGGGCCAGGGGGCGGCTGCTGGCAGCGCAGGCAAGGCGTTCCTGCAGGCAGGTGGAAGGGCAAGTTTATGTCTAGGGCAGCAGGGAGGGAAGCGGGGGCCCTTCGGGCTGGGGAGCGGGTGTGGGCTGGCCAGGCCCTGGGGCCAGGGTGGCCCTGTGTCCTGATTGGGGTGACACCAAGTTCTCTGTGCCCCCGATTCTCCCAGCCCTCTCAGACAGCAGGGTCATTCCTGGACACAGGAAGCCTGGGCAGGTTGGGTGTATAGTGTTCTGTGCCTTCCCTTCCTCGCCTAGTTTGGGCCAGGGCTTGACAGCGGCAGCCAAGGTGGATGTCAGGGGTCTGGCCAGGCCCCACCCGCCTCCCCATGGGGGGGGACAGTGCTGCCCCTGCTATGTGGACTAGCCAGGTGCATGCTGGGTAACCAGGACCATTGTCAGGGTGCATGTGCTCTTCCCTGTCTCTCAGATCTCCCTGAGCCTCTGCTGGGTCCCCCTTTCATGGGTGGGGGTGCAGCTGCTGCTGGACAGCAGTATGGGTCCCTAGGGGTCTCCGCCGTGATCCCCAAGAGCTGTAAAAATGCTGGCCTTGGACCCAGTGCCACTGTCATTCTCCAGAAAATGGCAATGTCCCCGGGCTGTCCCCAGTGGGGTTGGCCCACAGGGTGCATGGGCGGGTGCTGAGCAGCTGTGATGACTGTGTGCCCACCTGTAGCCCACACCAAGGACATGCCCTTCACCTGCGAGACCTGCGGGAAGTCCTTCAAGCGCAGCATGTCCCTCAAGGTGCACTCGCTGCAGCACTCAGGGGAGAAGCCCTTCCGGTGCGAGGTGAGCCCGGCCCGCCGGCCCACGGGGTTCCCTCTGACAAGGAGCAGGGCCCTGCCCTCACGGCCAGGGCCTCACCTGTGTCGCCGGGCGGGGTGCACATGAGGTGGGGCCTCTGTGCATGCTGTGATAGGGCAGGGCAGGGGCCGAGGGCTGGGTGTGGGGCAGAGATGGACACAAAAAGGTGGGGAGCAAAAGGAGGCTTCTCTGCCCTGGCACTTCTGCTGCTGCCTGCATCCTGCCCTGGCCCACAGTTGCTCTCACTCCTAACCCCAGCCCCTGATGCCCTAACCCTAACTGATAGCCCGAAGCATAAACCCCTATTTCTGACCCTAACCCCCAGCCCTAGCCCTAACTCCCGAACTTTCACTTCTCCCCTCTAACTGTACCCCTAACACCCTATGCCTAAACCCAACCCCCACCCCTTGCCCTAACTCTGTTTCTAGCCCCCTAACTATTCCCTAGGCCTCGAATTCTCACCTGTAATCCTAACACCCTAGCCCTAATCCCTTAGCTCTAAATCCCAACCCTAACTACTCCCGATCCTAACTCGAATCCTTAACCCTAGTGCCCTACCTCCCAACCTTAACCCCAACCCTAACTCTCCCTCCTCTCACCCTGTCCCTAACCGTAACCCCTGCCCCCAGAACTGCAGCGAGCGCTTCCAGTACAAGTACCAGCTGCGGTCGCACATGAGTATCCACATTGGCCACAAGCAGTTCATGTGCCAGTGGTGCGGCAAGGACTTCAACATGAAGCAGTACTTCGACGAGCACATGAAGACGCACACGGGTGAGAGCCTGGGCTGCCCCCTTCCTTGGGGTCAGGGTCGCCGGGTAGGATGCAGCAAGCCCCCAAGGCCCCGTGTGACCCTGCATTCCCCGCTGCAGGGGAGAAGCCGTACATCTGCGAGATCTGCGGCAAGAGCTTCACCAGCCGGCCCAACATGAAACGGCACCGACGCACGCACACCGGCGAGAAGCCCTACCCGTGCGACGTGTGCGGCCAGCGCTTCCGCTTCTCCAACATGCTCAAGGCGCACAAGGAGAAGTGCTTCCGCGTGAGCCTGCCCGCCGCCGCCGCCTCCACGCAGGCCCCCGGGCTCGGCCCACCACCCTTCCCTGCAGGGCCTGGCACGCACCACTGAGATCAGGCCACCTGGGCCCGTGGGGACCCCTTGCCCTCTCTGCCACTCCTGGAAGCCTTGACTCCTTTGTTTAATTTCTTTTTGGAAGTGGAGGTAGAGGAAGAGGTTTGCAGCAGCCCTCCGGGTGAGGGGTGCTGTTGGCCACGGGTTGGGGGAGCAGCCCCCTCACCTTTGCCAGGCCTTTCTCACGTCTCCTGCAGGGTTTGGGGGAGTTGGAGGTCCAGCCCCTTGGAGGAGTTGTGGGCCGATTTGAAGGCCGTGGACACAGAAGCAGGGCTCAAGCTGGACCCTGGGGCCCTGGGGCCTGGAGTGTCTGGGGCCAAGAGGGCCACCTAGCTCTGTGGGAGCGGGCAGATGGGGCTGGCCCCCAAGGGTTTACCCTGCTCCTTGATACCCCTGCCAGCTGGCAGAGGGGTCCCCAGCCTGCACCAGCTGCCATGAGGGCTGCGGAAGCTGCCGGGTCCCTGTACAGCGGCGACGCCCTGGGCAACAGGTGCGTGACTCCCCCAGTGCTAGCCCCAGGGCTGCGACTGGTGCAACCTCAGGGGCAGCGCCCAGGAGGAGGCTCGGCTCCGGCAGCCTTGAGGGATCCAAGGTGCTACAGTGGGGCGGGGCCGGGGCGGCTATGCACAGAGCACCTGGCCTCCGCCAGCCACCAAGGCTGCACCCCACACCCAGAGATGCTGCGCCTCCGCCCCCAGCCCACCTTCCTCCCGTCCCTCCCGGGCCTCACCAGAGGGATGGGGCAGTGCCCGCGCCCTGTCTGCGAGGGAGCTGCATGTCCAGGCCCCGGGGGGGTGGCGTCCGGCCTGCGGGCAGGGCTGAACCCTGGAGGCCAGCACTACTAATAGGATAGCCTTTTCTGTTGTCATTTAACGTCTTCATTCCTGCCGAGAAGGGCGAGAAGGTTCCATAAGCTACACATCTCCTAGCTAAGCTCTTCCTGTCGTGTCCATGCAGTTTTGTTTGTTATACTCTTTGCACCTTACACCCCGCCTCTCCCCCCCACTACCACCTTCCAAGCACGGCAGGTGTGGGAAGAGGCCTGGGCCTGGGGACTCTGAACCCTCAGCACTGGGGCAGAGGGCTGGGGACATTTTAATCATCAATAAACAAAGCACTTTATTCTCTACAGATGTGGGCAGGCCCCAGGTACCTGAGTGACTTGAAGACCGATCCCAAGCTCTTGGTGTAAGGGGCTGTCCAGGCTTGGGGCGGGAGAGGGAGCCAGTGACCCCCAGGCACCTGTATCCTGTGGGTCCCCCAGGGAAGGAAGGTGTCCCTGTGGCCCTACAGCCCACGGAGCCCAAGGCTGGGGTTCCGGCATCCTGTAGGCTGCCCCTGGACGGAGCCTTTCCTCCTCTGCACCCTTTGGTCTCCGGGCTTCCCTGGGCTTCTGTGGCGTCCTCTGGTCCCGTCTCTCCCACTCGCTAGCTCAAACCTCCGGCCTCAGTGCCTGAAGCTCTTTAGGGCTCTTTTTCTAAAAATCTGATCTTGCTTCGTGGGCTGTAGGCAGGAACCCCGGAACTCCCCCGACCCATCCCTGGCCCCAGGCTCTCCCCGGGGGGCTGGGCAGCCTCACTTCAGCAAGCAGAGGTCGCGTGGGTGTGGGAGCCGGGCTCTCTGTTCCCGTGTGTCGCCCTGACGGGGCAGGGAGTGGGGTCCGGGCCACGGGCCGCAGTGAGGATGGTTGCTGTGCCGGGAGGTGGTGCAGCCCCCCGTCCTGGGAGGCCCCGGCCCTGGTGCTAAGCGTGTACCTCGCCTCAGGCTCCTTTCCATTGCTGCTGGAAGCAGTCACAGAACTTGCAGCGCCGTGTGGATGGTGCTCTTGTCTGGCCAGCTTGCATGGTTTGTTTAAAGAAGCGAGTGAGCACCCGGTTATTGGAGTGGGAGGCTGAGGCAGAGCACCTGCTTTTCAGAGCTGGGGCAGAGGGGCTCGGTCGTCCTCTCCAGAGTCCTGCTGGCACCCTCTCTCCAGCCGGGTGCACCAGCCTCGGGTCTGCAGTCTGTCTCTGCCCCTCTCCGGCTCCCTGGCCAGCGTGATGGGGGCCCTGGCTCATGCTGCCCAGCCCCCACGGTGCCCTGCACAGAGCTTGGAGACACAGAGGCATCGTGCAGGTGGGTGGGCCCTGTGTGGGTGCCCCACAGCCGCAGGCACGGTGACAGCGGCACGTGAACAAGAGCGGGAGGGAATAAAGTCGCTACCAGTCCCGGCCCTCGGCCCTGCCTCGTCTTTATCTCCTGTTGCCCTGAGTGTGGGCAGCAAGAAACCCAGTGGCTGGAGCTGGAGGGTGCAGACCTCACAGAGCACCCGCAGACCGCGGTCCCTCTTGTCAGGGGAGGCAGGGCTTTGGGGAGCGCCAGAGCCAGGGGCGGAGCTTCAGGCAGCAGGCAGGCTCCTGGGCTGCCAGGCTCACAGCCCTGAAGGCCGTGCCCACAGGAAGCCATGGGGATTTCTATGAGCACCAGAGCCTGGGATGGGGACTGGACCCCCTAGTGCACGTGCTCAGCCCTGCGGGGCCCCCGCCCCAGCACCTGGCTCTGCAGAGCTGTGGCTAGTGTGAGAGGCAGGTGGGGCTGCACCCTGGCTCTGCCGAGGCCCCAGGACGGCCGTGTTCAGCGTGGAGGCTCACATGGCTTTGCCTGGTGGCTCCGGAGCACTGCGGGTGGCCTCAGAGGGGCCAGAGCCAGGCGGAGGGAGGGTGCAGTGATGGGACGCTCTGCCTGGAGTTCATCCCTGAAAGCTCCATGCAGGCTCCACTTCAAGGAGTGTGGAAACGCACCCCAGTGTGGCTGAAAGTGTGGGTACAACCTCCTTTCTAGCGCTAGGCCCTGAGTCCCCAAGGGCCTGGCTGCCAGCGTGCAGGCGGGGGTGCTGCTTCCCAAGGTAGGGGCAGGGCAGCAACGAGGAGCAAAGGTGGTGCCCCAGCGCTCGTGTGAGCCGGGCGTGCTGAGGCTGCTTGGTCCCCACAGACCACAGCCTTAGGCCCAAGACTTGGTGGGGGTGTCCTCCTCTCGTGCCTTGGTGTCTCAGTTCCTCGCTCCAGCTGAGTCCCGCTGGACAAGGCTCCAGAGAGCCCTGCAGCCCGGTCTGTCCCTATGCCCCTGCGACCTCCACATGGGACCCTGAGAGCCACTCCTCAGCCCACCGGCTTCTGAGGCCCTGAGGATGTGGAGGTCACAGAAGGAAAGCCATTGCACGTGGCAGAAAGTAGTGGAGCAGGACTTGAACCCAGGCCTACCAGGTCCCAAGGCCATGGTCCTGAACCCCACACTCAGAGCTGGGCACACGTGGCCTTTGGGAGAACCACGCCTGCGTGCTTGCAAGCAACAGAGTCCCTGTAGCTAACGTAAGTGGAAAGCAACTGACTGAGAAGGCCCTGACTAAAGCTTCTGGGGAGCCCCAGACACACTCAAGATCCAGGGTCTGTAGCCGGGAACAACGGAACCCTAAGCCACCCTGCAGGACCTGGCCCAGGGGTGTGGCTGCCAGGCTCTGAGGACTAGGAGCCCAGAGGCTGCACCCAGGAAGCTGCCTGCTGCGCCCAAACCTACACCCTCTGCACCTGCACAGAGCGCCGTGCCTGGGTGACAGCATCTGCCCTGTGCTCCTCTCACCTGGCGCATCTGACTGGCAGAGCTACCCTCAAGTCACACCTTCCACTTTGGACTGGCAGAACTCACACCACTGTCCACCCCCACTGCTGGGGGTCACAGGCTGTCCTGAGCCCCAGCCCCCATGCAGGCCTGAGCAGCACACAGCAGGAGCAGCACCAAGCTCTTGACAGACGGCCTTTGCACAGAAGTGAGGACGTGTGTGTCCTTCCCCAAGGTCTCCACACCAAGGCCTCCAGCTCCATCCCAGAATCCGCCGGCGAGCGCTGTTCCTCAGCTCGGCTCACTGTTTGGAAGCGATGTGTGAACTCGAAGTGTGACGTGGCCCCCCCTTTACTAGAAGGCGGACGGGAGGAGGAAGGAATGAATTAAAATGTACACACACATCACGCCCAGGGTGATGGTTCACTGTGGATATCAACGCAACCCACTTCCGGAATGCCGGACAGTGGGGACAGCGCAATCTCCGGGTGTACCTGCGAGGGTACTCCGAGGAGACATTTGCATTGGAGTTGGTGGACGGAGTAAAGGTGATTCGGCTCCACAAATATGGCTGGCGTCATCCAGTACACTGAGGGCCCAGGGAACAGGCAGGGGAGGTGTGAGTTCGCCCTCTCACTCCTGCCCTTGGACATCAGACTTGCCGGGTCTCCGGCCTCTGAGGGCCCTGGCTTCTCTGGTCCTCAGGCTTTGGATTTAGGCTGGAACACACCACTGGCTTCCCTGAGGCCAAGCTTGCGGACGGCAGAACGCAGGATTCTTGGCCTTCATCACTACAGAGCCGATTCCCCAACAACGCCCCCCTTATAGTCTACGTGTTCTGTTTCTCTGGAGAGCTCCAATACACCCAGCAAGGAGGGGAGAGTAAGATGCGTCCGGCCTCATTCTGCCCTTGGTTGTGAGGTCAAGTTGCCAGTGGCTTCCCCAGTCACCTTCCCCTACCGCTAGGGCCCAGATGGCCCCTGTCACAGGAACTCACCTGGCTTGAAGGACCGGAGTCCTGGAGTCCTGCGTGAGGTTGTTCTAGCCACCAACTGACCTTTCTTTTCTCTTTTCAATTTTTCTTATTGAGGTTAAATACACAAACCATTTTAGAGTGAGTAGTTCAGCGACATGCAGTGCATTCATGATGTTGTGTAGCCAGCCCCTTGCTCTGGTCCCAAACCCCAAAGGGGAACCTCGTATCTGTGTTCCCCACTTCCCCTCCCCAGCCCCCGGTGACCACTGACCAGTGTTCTGTCCGTATGATCTGCCAAGTCTTGGGGTGGTGTAGAAATGGAACCCTGCAATATATGGCCTCTTCTGGCTTCTGTCACTTCACATGGAGTGCAGAGAGTATTTTGTTCCTCTATGTGGCTGACTAGTGGATTCCACTGTCATTTATCTCTGGATATGGGGCCCAACTCCCTCTTCTGCCTCTTCTTCCAAGGGTGTGGGGCCCCAAAGTGGGTGGTTCTGGGCCAAGATCAACTCCCAGCAGATGAAATGTGACTGCGTCCCCAAGAACACAGTCCCTTATGTCTGCACACTCCAAGTCACATGTACCCTGGGTGCCAGGTTAGTGTGTGTGGTGTGTCCAGGAGGAAGCTCCCAACGTTGCAGGCTGCAGTCTCTGGACAGGAGTCACGGCTGATTCTCCCAGGGACAGAGTGGCAGGTGGCAAGAGTCAGTGTCACCAACTACACTGCAGGAACACTCACGGATAGGCTTGGTGTGAACACTAACTTTCATTTCTCTGGAGTAAGTGCTTAACAGGGCAACTGCTCAGCTGTGTGGTAGCTGCATTTTGGTTTCATAAGAAACTGCCAAAGTATTCTCTGAAGTGCCTGTACCATTTTATATTCACTAGCAATATGTATGTGTGCCTCAGTTTCTCTGTATGCTCACCGGCATTGGGTGTTATTTTTCATTTAGCTACTCTGGTGTTTAGTGAGAGCTCATTGTGTTTTAAATTTACATTTCTTTGATATAACATTTTACATCTTTTCATGAGATTATTTGTCATGTATATACTATCAGTTTGGATTTTTTTCTCTTTTCTCACTGAGTTGTGTAGATCTTTCACTGTTGAGTTTTGAGTACTTTTTGTGCATCAAGATACCTTATCCCACTCCATAGCTTGTCTTAATTCTCCTCACATGGGCTTTTGCAGGAGGAGTTTTAGTTTTAGTTTTAATGATGTTTAGTTGATCAAACTTCCCATTGATGTTCCATATTTTTGGTGTTGCCTCCAGGAACATATTCCTAGCCCTAAGTGCCAGAAACATTCTGCGTTTTTCTAAAAGTTGTATAGTTTTATATGTTGCATTTTGAAAGAAATATGCTCATTTCCCTTATTCTGTGGGAGTCAAATCCAGGTGCAGGACTGCCACAGTTCTCTCTCTCTGTGGGGTGATGTGGTAAAACATACACTTAACCATATCAAGTGTACAGTCCTGTGGCGTTGAATACATTCACATACCACCATCCATCTCCAGAACTTTTTATTTTCCCAAACTAAAATTCCTTTCCCATTAAAGTCTAACTCCACATTCCTTCCTCCACACAGGTCCAGACCACCACAGCTCTACTTTCTGTCTCCATGACGTGCTACTCTAGGTGCCTCATACAAGTCAGCCACGCAGTGTTTATCCTCCCACTATCGGCTTGTTTCACTTAGCGTACGGTGCTCAAGGCTCAGCTGTGCTGTCGCCTGTCGGAACCTCCTTTCCACTGGAAGTTGCATTACATTCCACTGTATGTCTCTATACCACGTTACTTACCCACTCATCACTGATGGCCGTTTGGACGGTTTTTGACACCCTTGTTGAAAATCATCTTACTGTGCAGATGAAGGTTTATTTCTGGGCTCTGTATTCCATTCCCTGGGTTTCGATGTCTATGTTTATGTTTGCACCATGCTGTTTTGATTACTGTAGATTCATAATCTAAAGTTGTGAAATCAGAACTGTGAGGCCTCCAAGTTTGTTCTTTTTTCTCAAGATTAGTTTTTAGATATTTCACATTTTAGAATCCACTCTCAGTTATTTTTTGTATGAAGTGTGAGATTCAGTACTGACTTTTTTCAGTATCGCCTGTGGATCTCTAGTTGTTCAGCACCATTTGTTGGAAAGGCTGTCCTTCCTTCACTGAATTATTTATTTTTGCATCTTTGTCAGAGGTCAGTTGAGAATATTTGGATCTACGTGTGTATCAGCAGCTCCAGTCTCCCAAAGCCCTGGACAGGTGAATGGTAAAGGATGAAATACAAGAGACAATGCAATATGGTTTGCAGGGGTCCAGGAAGGTCAGAGCTCTTTTGGCTAAAAGAAAGACTTCTCTGGACTGGCCAGTATTTATTGGGTCCTCAACATGTCAGAGGAGTGCAGGAAAGTGCAGAGAATAGCTCGGGCAAAGGGAGTGTGAAAATGAGCAAGGCCTTGAGAAAGCATATTCGAAGCAGCAAATCTTCAGTTAAGGAGAGGGCTGTTCGATCACTGAGGCTGGCAGTTGTCACCCTTGAAAATCTGAGGGAGAGTCGGCACCCACAGCTGCCATGCTGTCTTGCTTTCAGAGACGTCACAGACTAACACAGGTCTCTCCTGTGACCGCTGGCATGGA